CAGAAGCTGTGGAAATGTAGACTTGCTACATTTTCTAGACTTGTGTGGACTTTCTTGGATATATTTGCTTCAGGGTCTGTATGATAGACTAGAGGCCAGTGTTTCACAGTGTTTCTTTTTAGCTGGTGAATTGTGTTACATGGGTCTTGTAACAGCAGTTAACTGTAATTGCAGCTGCAGTCTGTGCCAGAAACTTATGATTCCATAAGCCCAAACCTGACTCCCAGTGTCAGTTTCAGTTCGATTTACTGTTATATTATGGACCTTCATTAGCTGAGCTAACTGGATCAAACCAAATTTCAAATTAGTTTAGAACTTAGTTTTTTAAAAATAATTATCATCAGAGATCAGTCAGGTGACATCCTATTGTGAAAATACTGTGCCTCATATCAGAAATACTGGACGAGACGACCAAGCAGATATGCAGGGTCATAAGTGCTTTCAGTTATCCAGGTCCCTTGCAGCGTGCTGCACTGTGAGGTAACCGTTGTCTTGCCCAGACCCACATATAGGTCAAGCTAGATAGGCTGGTCTCTTAACCTGATTCACTTCTGTTCAAAGTAGCTTGTTTTGCTATCCACAATTACTGATTTGAGACCAATCCCAATACACTTTAAAATTTAGGAGGAAAAGTTGAGGGCAAGTTTACACAATCTGTAGGAGTGGCCGAGACCTCTCTCTTTAACCTTATGTCATTCCTAACATGTCTAATCAAGTCCACAAGGTGTATGTCGGTCGTTGTAACATTATCAAGGTCTTCTTTAGATATTTTGAATGTGGCTTGCTGGAAGAATGATGAAATTTCATACCTAAGTTGCCAGGATGAAACCTTTTATAGCTTAAGGTTCTAATGAAGCCTACTTGATGTCAGTACGAGAGTAAAAGGTGACATTAGATAAGAGTAACATGGTGAATGCAGGGATATATGGGACACAAATTCCTGCTGCCTATACACATATAAATTGACAATGGACGCAACAAAATTTTATTAGGGCGTCCACAGGGACGCAGAAAAAGTCTAAATACTTTTTTTTAAAATTTCGATCAAGTAACAATAAGTTATCACTGAGTTTGCTACAAGCTGGGTTATGGTATCATTTGCAATTTAATTACTGTAACAATGTGATGATCATGATGGTATTAACAGTAATATTTAAGTATCTGGGACCCCCATTTTGTAGTCCAGAACCCCTGGAAATTAAGAGTATGAGTCCCAGGGACCCTCAAATACAGGACTCATGGTAAATCACTGTGAATGAAGGCAGGGTAGAATTAATTGCATTGTTGTGTAAGACTGGCAAGTATGCTGTTTTCCTATGTGTGGGAGATAAAAGTAGTGAGTGAGTTTGGTTTTACGCCGTTTTTAGCAATATTCCAGCAACATCACGGCGGGGGACACCAGAAATGGACTTCACACATTGTACACAAATGTCAAATCTTAGCTCGCGTACCAGTGCATAGATAAAATAACTTAGGTATATTGAGAAGTTCTATTTCAACACATGAACTAGGCAACTTGCAGTCTTTCTTATTGTTACTCATATTACAGATCCAATATAAATAACATTTAAACTTTATTATATTCTTACCCATGTGGGGAATCAAATCCGTGTCTTCGGCATGATGAGCGAACACTTTAACCACTAGGCTAACAAAAAAAACCACACCCCACCCCCCTTTGAGACAAAAATAGGTTTCAGATATGCATAGTATGCATACACGTTGTATTAGGCTACATGCATTTATTTCTTGTTACAGGCTTTCTTCTTGATGTATATATTTTCATATTTGGGTCCAACTTAATAATATTAGTCTTAGCAAATCCAAAACGTGTGAAAGGGTGGCCCAATTGTGTCAAGTGCAGTTATATGCTTTACACAGGTCAAGTGCATCCCTTAGGGTGTTGGCCTGAAAACTGTGACCAAGGTTTGACTCTGGTCTGCCCTGTTGCTGTTTTTGCCAGTACCATAGCTTTGCTTGTGGGTTTATGTAAGTGATAAAACACTTAAGATCTTCATGACTTCAAGGGCGCGGTGGGGTAGCCTAATGGTTAAAGCGTTGGCTCGTCACGGCGAAGACCCGGGTTCTAATCCCCACATGGGTACAATGTGTGAAGCCCATTTCTGGTGTCGCCCGCCGTGATGTTGCTGGAATATTGCTAAAAGCCGTGTAAAACCAAACTCAGTCAGTCAGTCAGTCATGACTTCAAACTTTCCTCTCACATTAAGCAGACACTCCAATGATACCGTGATCAGGATGATACAATACAGATACTCTTCAAAGTGATGTTTAAACTAAACATAATAGAATTTCAGTTTAATCATTTAATATTTTGATTATCGTTCTGTGGTTGTCCATGATGGGTTGTCATGAAAAAGAATTTAAAAGACTAGACTTGATAACAAAGCTAAATTTTCTATTTCGGTTGGAATAGGCCCTTGTTTTTTTAATTTCTTTTATATCCTTGAAGATGTCTAAAATAAGCTATATTTAATTTTTTAGTTAAGAAATCTCAGTTCTTGCAGGGAACAGTGTAACTCGAGGTGTTGTTATGTAATTGTTAGCGTAGCATGTTTTATATACTTTATATCCATATCAGTTGTGGTTGATAATGTTAGGTAGGTGCAGAGAACAGTGTCACTCAGGGTTTTGCCATGTAATTGTTAGCACAGCATATTTTATATACTTTATATCCATATCAGTTGTGGTTGATAATGTTAGGTAGGTGCAGAGAACAGTGTCACTCAGGGTTTTGCCATGTAATTGTTAGCGCAGCATATTTTATATACTTTATATCCATATCAGTTGCGGTTGATAATGTTAGGTAGGTGCAGAGAACAGTGTCACTCAGGGTTTTGCCATGTAATTGTTAGCACAGCATATTTTATATACTTTGTTTCCATATCAGTTGCGGTTGATAATGTTAGGTAGGTGCAGAGAACAGTGTCACTCAGGGTTTTGCCATGTAATTGTTAGCGCAGCATATTTTATATACTTTGTATCCATATCAGTTGTGGTTGATAATATTAGATAGTCTACTGTCTGAGTGTCATATCTGATGACATGAAAGTCAGGGGTTTGTTCAGTATATCCAAGTCAAGAAAAACAAATAAAACCTTTCCATAATCAAAAGTTATCTGCTGAAAACAGTCCGTTGTACAATTCTGACTATATCATTAGCATGTGTTAAAACATGCCTCTGTCGGGCTTAACACCCAGTGAAGTAGTTTGCTGGTGAGAAGCTGCAATTAGTGACTTATTACTGAGGCTATTTTAGGTGCATGGATTGACCGACTGACCAGTGACATGGTATTATGAGTAAAATGTACATGTTCATGGTAACAATTTTTGACATATTTAGCACTTTCTTTTTACCTGCTAGATCAAACAACACAAGCCGCATATCAATGAAAAGTTGAGTGAATATAGTAATAATTGTTCATACTTTAGATAATGTGGCCATTATCTTCCTACTCTCCAATTACATATAGTTTATGAAATATTATCAGCCATTCTATTTGCAGCCTCTTCTCATTTTTAGCAGACTACACTAATTCTTTTCAGCTCAATTAAGAGACTTATGAGCGTTCCTTAACATTTGAGTGTTCCTTTATGAAATTGCTTTGATTGAACCTAATACATGATATTGTTTGGGGACTTTAGGCTAGGCTATGTGACCATGATCTGTCAGGGAAAATAACTCACTGCAGCCAGGGTCAAAGATAACTTGATCAAACCGGATAGAACCTGATATGCAGGAGAAGCAAATATGGATTTAATACAGTTATTTCTCAAGGTGACTTGACTCTTTCCCTGACAAGGATATTTGTTTTGTTGAAGAAAAAGCTTCAATCATAGATCGGCAATAGATCACTGCTTATGTTCTCACATAATTTGAATTAATCTTCTGAGAACAATATCGGTTAATGACAACTGTGAAAGACAACGGCTCTGATTTTCTAATAATATATATAATAAGATAGCTGAATCCAAACTGACACTAATGTTTTTGTGGGTGATTCTGTCCTTTGATGTCATGACTATAAGACATTATGTGCTGAGTTGACTTTACGTTGCTTTTTGCAATATCACAACTGGGGGAACTAGAAATGGGACCCGTGAAGATCCAGGTTAGAATTGATCTTCAGTAACCCATGCTTGTCGTAAGAGGCGACTAACGTAATCAGGTGGAGAGGCTCGCTGACTTGGTTGACACATGCCATCGTATCCCAATTGCATAGATCGATGCTCATGCTGTGGATTGTATGGTCCAGACTTGATTATTTACACACCGCCGTCATATAGCTGGATTATTGCTGAGTCCGGTGTAAAACTAAACTAACTAACTCACTCACTGACTCACCAGAAATGGGCATACCTATGTGTAGAATCAAACCCGTCTCTTTGGCATGATGAGCGAACACTTTAACCACAAGGCTACCCCACTGCCCCATAACTCATTATGGATAGGCTTTTGTACATAGACTGGTATCCAATTCTAGTCCAGATTTAGACAGAGTAAATAGCACTGATACATATTTGGTGATGTTGGTGATACTGAAACGTTGTCTTTATCTATTCATAGGACTGCAGGGTGTTACAAGTACACAGATATATTGCAAAGCTTGTCGCAATGTCTTTTGTTTGTTCGCTAAGTTTGGTAAACAAAATATACAAGTTTTGTTAATATAATCATTTGTCCGATACAGCAGGACATGCTTACTTTTTTCTTGGACCTTGGGGATCAATATTGATTTTCAGATGTCATTCATTTTATGAGTATTTTGCCTCTCTCCAGGAATTGATCTCCTTCACGGGATAATTTATGATTATTCTGTGTCCTTGATGTTTTTAAGTTGATACATTACACATTTGTAGAGACTACGTATATAACGGATCATCTCTTTTTTAATTGTCATAAGTTAAAAAACTGTTTCTTGTACACATGATAAATGCCATTTAGATGATAATTGTGGTAAAAACGGTTTCTTCTGTTGCAGAAAAATGGTGGTTTGTTGAGGATTTTCCCAGAGGGCAATAACAGAGTGGCCAACATTGAGCCGGTGTTCGACCGGCTGCTGTACTTCTGGTCAGACAGACGAAACCCACACGAAGTTCAGAGTTCCAGTAGAGAAAGGTCAGTTTGTCAGTCAGCTTGTACAACACTGCTGTACATGTGATTGACAGCCTGTTAACCAAATATATCTGACCTAGTGATTTTTGTTTGTTTTGTGTGTTTGTTGATTACTCAGCACTCAGCACTGTTACAGCTATATGACTAGCACAGGGGTTCACATTTTTTTTTAAAAAGCCACTTGCCACAGGGCAAGTGACTTTAAGAAAGTAACTTGTCCTGACTAATTTTCCACTTGCCCTGATTTTATGACATAATCATGATGATGTAATTGTGAAAGAAAATAATCAACATAGTATTTGATGTTAATGTTTACTGGACTATTTATTGAAAAGTGATAAATAGGAAAGAAAGATAACTCATTATCATTTATTATCATTGCAAAATTTAATAGCTACATTTTGAGCAGATATGAAATTAAAAATCCAAGTTTATTTGCAGTTTGAAACCATAAGTGGAAATAATCTAGTAGCCCACAGACAAGTAAGATACCATTATTTGATTGCCCGAAATGAAAACTGACTTGTCCAGGGCATCGGGCAATGGGATTTTTTAACCCCTGCTAGCAGTCTGTAAATTGTCAAGTCAGGATGAGGCAATACAATGATTGACATCATGAGCATCAAGCTTTGCAACTGAGATACACTGACATGCATCAACCAAGTCACCGATTCAGAATGTCTGATCTCAGTAGCTGTCTCTTACAAGCATGAGTTAGCTGAAGGTCAGTTCAAACCTGCCCTTCATGGGTAGTCAGCTGGTGTGAACACAACTGTACAGAGAATTTAATTGTATTTTGTTGTATCATATTTTCTAGACTGTACTCATATTAGACTAATGATTAGTCTATGAATATATATAATTTTGATAGTAACAAACAAGCCCATTTAAAATTGAAAAGGAGCCCCAGGGAGACCAGACATTCAGATTCCTGAACCTGAGGAAATCTAGACTTGCTTTATTTAGGGCTTTTGTGTTGCAGAGAGGGCTTGGCAGTAGGGAAAATAGGGACAGTGAGTAGGGACTGTGAGACAGACTATACTCATATATGCACAGTCCATTCCCCAGAAGAGTAATATTTTAGAAGAATTTTGCTTTTTCATGTATTACACAATCACAAGCTACATTGCTTCACCTCTGGTAGATGATGGGAGTGAAGTAACACAGTGAAAATATCAAATTTGCCGTAAAATGTCACTAGACATTGTGACAGACTATTTCAGTAGAATTTTTGTTCCACCATACATTGTTGTATATGAAGGGGTTAAGATTACCATGTGTGCATTTTGTGTGTGTGCGTGCGTGTGTACGTGGGTGTTTCATATACTAATGAGGGAACTATTTTATCAGCTGCAAACGTTCTCCCACAGATCTGTCAGGAATTAATGAAAATACTATACATTGACATGACGTAAAAGAATTAAATTGCAATAATCGAAAATTGTATCTGAAGCTATCATTTTACCAGGAATAGTGTTTCAAATATTGTGTTATTTTAGTTGCAGCTTTTACTTAAAATTTTACTGTTTCCTAGTCACATTATGGTACCTAAGCCTTTACTCTTTCTAGAAACAGTAAGATCCCATTTTACCTAGAATGCTCTCATGCAGGTTGCAGTAATTTTATCTTCTTAACTTTTAAGAATATGTCTGTATGTTTCAGATATGCCATCACTGTGTGGTACTATGACATGGAGGAAAGATCCAGAGCCTTGAAGAGATATAAAGGTGAGAAAGTGATCTATTCTATTCTGTTAGTTTGATATATAGTATGTTGTGGCCTGACAGATTCACTATAGTAATTGGTACTATGGAAGATTAGCTGGCCTTTAATTTGGGGGGTGGGGGTATATTCTGGTGTCAGGTTCTTTTTAGAAATTTCTGTTGATCAGGGATTGGTTGAGGTGGGGATTATGTAGTCACAACATTTGGATGGGTTAAAGTCAAAGTCTTTTGTCATCACCACTCAGATGAGTCAGAACCATGGGTCCAGTGATTAGTATCGTGAGCAGCAAACACAATGTCAGAGGTTAATGACGCACAACATCACATAGTATTTTATCATCTATGGTCTGCACCATTTGTTTTTTCTACCACATGAACTTTACGCCCCATGATTCAAATAAAATGTACTTTCAGTGCAGTCACAAAACCCACTCACTCACTGTTAAACCTGTTGATTGTGAAAGTACATTTTTCTCCCTTCATATTTTCACAGCTACGTGACCTTTTACACCCAATCAAGTCGTCTTTGTTGAACGCTCAAGATTCATAATTCTCTGGCGTTCATGTTTTAGATTTATATGATTTGCAGAATTACACTGTATTAATGATGTGTGTAATGATAACCAGACATCTTGGATCAGTGATCACAATATTAGCTCAGTCCATCAGCTTCAGATCAGAGCACATGTTACAGTTCCAAAACATGCCATTCACTTTCTGTCTCTTGATGAATGTCTGAGGGGCGGTCAGGGAGCCTCATGGTTAAAGCGTTCACTCCGAAGACCCGGGTTCGATTCCCCACATGGGTACAATGAGTGAAGCCCATTTCTGGTGTCCCCTGCCGTGATATTGCTGGAATATTACTAAAAGCAGCATAAAACCATACTCAGTCAGTCTGAATATCTGATGCTGTGTAATGTTTTGCCCTTTTAATAAAATATCATTTTCATTTTTATGTTTATGTCAAGTGAGTTGTTATGTTGTTCCAGGTCATTCCAGAAATGGAAGGAAGTCTGCAGTGCCATTGATAAACGGTGACCGCAACTCGTAGCACCCTGCTTCCTGATTGTATACCACATCCCCAGTTCCCAGTGCTAGACGACGAAAGGTTGATACAGTCTGTGACATGTGTGACTATACAAGCTGGCTGCCATGTCTCTCTCACCAGGTTGATTGGTCAACTTAAGCGTGGACTTTTATGTGACTTTATGGTGTAAATGTTGAACCATTGCCCGATGTGTGTATCTACACTTAGCCTTGTCTCCAAGGCATGTATGTTACATGGGGCACCTGGAACATTGTAATTATTACATTATTTTTTCGGTCTTTTTTCCTTACCTGCTGTTTTTTTTGGATGACTTGTACTGATATTTTTTTAGTTAAACTGACAGTTCCATTTTCACATTTCGTTTTCTCTTGAGTTTAAGGAGATATCGCCCTCAGGTGAACCCATGTTTCGAAACCCTTGTAGAAATGTCAGTGAGAACAACATGATTCTGTCATGGATTTGTGTTTTTAGGAGAAACCATTTGTGAATACAGCACCTATATCAGCCTCTCTACTCAACATAAACAGGAAAGCATGGACTTTATATGTGTATTCCTGAGTTATGAACAAGTTTTGTCATAGAATCCTTGTGAACTATTATAGTGTATGTGCTATGTTTTGTCAAAGCTCAGTCAAGTTATTTCTTGAATCAGTCATGTTCTTCCAATAATCCTCTTTAAGATCAATACAACCATGAACCACAGTGTTAGACTTGTGAATATTCAGAATGTGTGTCAGCTCCAGATAATGAACATAGATTGTTCAACATGCAGTCTCAGATGTAAAGAGAAATGTCCAGCATCAATTTTCTTTGAGTTTGATGCTATGTAATTAAACAGATTCCAAGATAATCCAATTATTCTCAGTTCATGTGCAAAGGATTCTGGTTTTATGAAGATGGAAGCCCATTGTTGAAGATTTGTCCCAGTGAATAGTAACAAAATAATCCTATAAATGTCATCTATAAATTTAACGTTTATCAGTTTCTATGAGATGAACTATTTGATGAAAAGGAGATATCATTGTTTGGGATAATCTCGAAAACCCCACAACCCCATGGTGTTACATCTGGTGACAATGGCCTATTAGTGATGAAAGGTGTTTTGTTAAAGGTAATTTTACTGTCGGTAAGAAGACAATAATAAGTGTATAATGATCATATGTATCAACATGTTCAGAAGTTTGAGGACACACATGACCATAGAAAGTTAATTAATTTAATCTAGCACCTATTAGAATGGACTGTTTTCTGTATGTTTAGCTTTTCAGTAATGGCTGACATTACACCAGCATGGGCTTAGTCAATCCTGATGTGTGTTCTGTGATCAGTTCTGTTAGAGCTTTACTGGAATGAATCTATTTGGAAATGTTGTTTCTCCATTAATCGCAGTGACTGTGTAATGTCATTGTTACAGTACAACCAGAAATTATTGAGAATTTAAAGATTGTATGTTTGAAATCACTTTAGCTGATCTGATGTCCTTGTTATAATACTCTAAAATCAACTTCCTCTTCACTATATCATCCATACTGAGGATCACTGAAAATGTCGTCTGCTAGCAAGTAAACAAAGGGGGATAACTCTTCACAAACTAATGAAAAAGGATTAACGGAGTTGTCTGTCTTGAATGAAACCAAGCACTTGATAGCTGGTCAAGGTTGTTTATACTAGAAATCCAATTAAACATATTCCAAAAAAATTCTCAATAATTTCTGGTCATACCACTATCATCTACACCCACTCTAATACATACTGATCAAGCCGTTCCATCAAGAATGGTGAAGCTGTGTTGATTGAATTAGAGATGGATCAAGTCAGGTTTCTTGGATTTCTTAGAATCACATCAAGGGTCTGATTGTGGCATTTGACATGTACCTTCCTATGATGTCTTTCATCTCAGTGTTTACCATGCCACTGTCAGTAGATATGGGCTGCTTGTAGGGGTGTCACGATACACCAATCTCACGATACGATACGAGTATCACGATTTTAAGGCCACGATACGATACGTATCGCGATACATAATTTTCGCGCCTTTTCATAGCATTACCTTACCGGCAACGTACGCGCTCGCTGATTGGTCCATCAAAATAGTCTAGCCAATCACAAAAGCTGTTAGTTTCCAACCTATTTTTTTAAGTAAAGCTAGCTACATCTATTTATCGGAGCGGCCTCGTATAATTTTACTATCAAGACTTTGAAGGAGATGGATATAGCATAAAAATTTGAATCGATAAAGTTTTAACATAGGAATCGATACACGCAAGCATGTATCGCGTAACGTATCGTCAGTAAAAATGTATCGATGCATCGATACATTCGCGTATCGCGACACCCCTAGCTGCTTGTACACCTTGTGTAGAGGTATGTGTGTTCATGTTGCCTGTGTTTCACCACAGTAAAGCCAGGCCAGTGATGTTCTTGTTTTGCCTTGCCACTTGGTCAGTTTGATCGGAGGCAGGAACAAACAACATCAAGGTAGATTTGAGCTGTCATTCCTAATTTCTGAAAACAAACATTGTTATATAAGTAATATATAGATAATGAAAACACAACTGTTTTCAGTTCATGCATATTTTTTTATTGAGGATCATATCTTTGGTTCATTTAGATGTATTTACTATTGCAAAGTGACTCATGGGATCGGGTGGTCAGGTTCGCTGACATTGTTGACCCACATGTCATCGATTCCCAATTGCATAGATCGATGCTCATGCTGTTGATCATTGGATTGTCTGGTCCAGAATTAATTATTTTCAGACCGCTGCCATGTAGCTGGTATATTGCTGAGTGCGGCGTAAAACTAAACTCACTCACTACTATTGCAAAATTGAAAATGTGTGCAGGAAGTAATGAATAGGCATTGGTCTAGCCTTACAAACATTTATGAATATTGAACAGAAATTAACAGGAGACTGTTCCTAGGAGCCTTTTGTGTGGTTTCTATATTTTCTTCACAGCACTGTTTTTCGTGTGTATGCAAATTTCAGCACTTTTTATTACATAGGTGATTCCCTATTTCTCTGTGTCCATGACACTTAAGTACAGTGTGATAGCATGTGATTGTCATGCGTTCACATATGCTTGGACATGTGACAGGGTTGGTTCAGAGATATGACAGTTACAGAATCACTGCATTATTGACCTTGGTTATTAAAATCACACGTTCCTCGCTAAACTAGTTGATATTCCAGGTCAGTGTTCAATAACTGCTTTTCTTTACTGAATGCATGAAATGTATTGTTTGAAGTCCTGGTAGCATCAGCATAAATTTGACCTACCCGTCTTTCAGCACCAAAAGGGCGATCAGTACATGAAGGGAATGGGTGGAAGGAATTACAAAAGCCAGTCTGTTACTTTTCTTTCAGAAGTATGTGCCAAAATTGTTATGGGAGTACCTGATGCTTGATGTAGATATGTGGAAGCAGTGATTGGCCAGTATGTAATTAATACCTATAGTGTTCATATCTGCTTTAACGGTGTAATTATCCGATGTAATTATTAGATGGTTTTTATATCAGATGTCAGGGTACCTTGTATACTCTATGCATATATTATCGACATAATGCCCTAGAATTTTTAATGAGTTAAGTTGTATTTTGTGTCTGTTGGAAAAGTAATATTGGGATGATAGTGATTTGATAGTATTCAACCTAAGCATTCTTAGATCATTGTAGTACAAACATATCCTTTCCTTATAAGGAACTAGCAGCAGAACTACATGTACAGCAAAAATGTCTAAAACAAAGAGCTGTAGTCCAAGGGTGGCCAAGTGGTGCTTTTCTGTCAACTTGCCTGGGTTTGAATCCAGACATTGGTACACATTTGTGAAGTACATACATGGGAACCCTAAAGTATTTGACAATTCATTCAACCAGAGTGCAAAGTAAAATTTGTCAATTTTCATATCCTGGAATTCCCTAGCTATAAAATACTTCACAATAACTTTGTATACTTGTATAACTTTCACAATCAGTAATTTGTAATATGTCATCAATGATTGTTCATGTTCTCAGCAAATACTATGTTATATTGTTTCTTCATTGTAGCTGGTTTCTTTTTGCAGTAAGTTTCTTACATTTGCACTTCAACATGTCATTCACATTATACGGAAGAGTATACTTACTCTGCTGGATGTAGGAACGGTTGTCTACTGCAGGGATCCCTGCAGTAATTCTCCATGCATTACAGTCTTCCATTAGAATCCATGTTCTACATTCCTTTGTTAGAGCCCAGGCCTTACATTTTGGCTACAATCTTCAGTTAAGACTTAAGCTGTATAAGTTCTTAATTAGAACTTCCTGTTTCAATCCTCCATACAACCTTATATTGCACTCCTCCATGTAGTCATACATGTATATTACAATCATATGCCCTTTATAGAACTTTGTATTAAAGTCTCCTTAAACTGTAAATTATAACCTGTTCATGAAAGACCCGTGATGGTCAGGGTTAGAATATTGATCTTCAGTAACCCATGCTTGTCGTAAGAGGCATCTAACGGGATTGGGTGGTCAGGCTGGCTGACTTGGTTGACACATGTCATCAGTTCCCAATTATGTAGGTCGATGCTCATGCTGTTGATCACTGGATTGTCTGGTCCAGACTCGATTATTTACAGACCGCTGCCATATAGCTGGAATATTGCTGAGCGCTGCATAAAACTAAACTCACTCACCCCTTCATGAAAACATTATGTAACACTCGTTGACGTTCTATTAAGATGCTTATTTGAACCTTTTCTTACAATCATCCATTATACATTATGTAACAATTCTTCTTTAGACCCTGTGTATTACAACCCCCTATAGATCCATGTACATGGGGGCGGTGGGGTAGCCTAGTGGTTAAGGCATCCGCTCGTCACGCCGAAGACCCGGGTTCGATTCCCAACATGGGTTCAATGTGTTAAGCCCATTTCTGGTGTCCCCCGCCGTGATATTGCTGGAATATTGCTAAAAGCGGCGTAAAACCAAACTCACTCACTCACTCCATGTACATGTATTTGAGAACATCATGAACCTTGTATCACATTCCTGCATTAGAACCCTTGTATTTATCAGAGCAACACAAAGGACACATAATATACAATCTTTTCACAAAATCCTCTTAAATCATCTAAAGTTTTGACTTATTTCTACAAACACCTACCCTTCATTGATAGGCAATGCAAGAACAGAGCATCTAGTCAAAGAAATTGTTTGTGTACATAATTATGTTAGGTACATACGACTATAGCCAAAAGTTAGTTACTATAACGTAACATGCATATAGTATGTTGGACTTCCAGCAAGGCTAATCACAGACAGGGTGTGGTTCAAGTGCATTGATGGAACACAATATTTGTCGAATGATTCTTAGAGCGAGTGAGGGGACTAGGAGAGATGTGCAGATATGGCAGTGTTGAAAAACAAAATCATTTATTTTTGTAGCATTTTAACTGCAGTAATTTAAAAAGCATGGTACGATATGCCTGTGTTATATATATCATGTTCATAGTCAGTTTATCGGCCAGAGCTGTGATCCAGAATCCAGACAGGTTACTCGCACAGATATGATCATTGGGTTACTGTTTCATGGGGGTTTGGTCCATTTGAGGTTCCTGATTCCCTGTGCTAGTGTTTGGCAGAAGCTAAATAAAGATTAACCTGATTTGTATCATCATGCCTGACAATGTTAATTTTGTGTTGCTGACAACCACC